ATCTATCTACTCACTTTACATCCCATTCATAAAATTAGTCATCTTGAGGTTCTTGAAGTGGTATTCTCACACACACACTCACACTTGGTAATAAGGGAGCAAGTAGGCAGGATGAGATGCATTGCAGTTTAAGACATAACCACTTCTTTGTATTGAATGCCAATAACATTTCAAAATGGTGACCACTATGCAAATGCCTGGAGCAAAATGATGAATAACCAGTTCACTTGCTCTGACAGCATGGCCAAGGGACAAATACTGGCCATATCACTAGTAGGATGCTCTATGCTTTATTTTTGGAAAAAATACGATGGGATCTTTTGCATCCAACTGAAGGCAAATGCAGTCTTGGATTATTAATACTGAAACATCCCTTGGGTCATCACATCTGTACATAGTCCATAGTAATAAATTTTTCTTATCAAGCTTTTTAAGAACTTTTGTTCCTCAAGGTCTTACCAAAGAATTACGCTGTGATAACTTACACTTCATGTCTAAAGTCTCTGTAAATTCATTGTTGAGATTACTACAAACTGGTGATCTTTTTAATAAAGCTGTAGTTATAAACAGCACTAATAATGGGCCATACAATAACATCACAATGACTAATCTAAATTAAGAGAACAATGATGTAAATCCTTATTTTAAGTAGACCACAGATACTCAAATTGAAACTAACTTGCAAGAAGCCATCTCAATACATGGACAGCAGAATTAAACTTACTGACTGGATTTTAAAAAGTCACCATTGTTTGATCCATAGGACAGTGCATTTCTCCCCTCAATACTGTGAACTGAATTGAAGCTAATTTTTCTTTATTACTTCCACATTCTAAATGTTAAAACGTCTATAAAATTGAAGTTTTAATATTCCAAGATTGGATAACAAAAAAATCTTAGAACTATGATTTATTTTTAAAATGCTGCTTGAAATAATTCTATCATAGCTGTCATACTACAGATTTAAGATTGAAGTTCCCCTGAACAAGGCTAAACTTGAAAAAAGCAGCTTGCTTTGAGCCTTGAAACTGAAATTTGGTATCTCTATTATACATCCAAGATTTGCAATATGCTATTGTACAATTTCAGGAAAAAAAAATGGACTTCCACAAGAAAGTCAAAATAAATCAATTTGCTCCACACAAAAATAATATTCAAAGAATAGCCTATAAAGATCCTGATCGCATCTATGGAGACATTATTTAAATTAGAAATTGGTAAAACATCTACATATATGGTATGGTTTCCTGCTCTTCCACAAACTTCTTGCAACACCAAGAGAACACATTAACATCTTAAGTTTGTTATTTGCTGTCCCTCCATTCAAGGATGACATCAAGTATGCCTCACTCTGTCTAAACAACCCATGATCTGTGTCCTTGTTTGCTAATGATCGGCCTGTACTGCTTGCAAAACAAGGCTTTTCACTGTACTTAGGTACATATGACTACAATAAATCAAATCAAAAGCAAAGTCAGGCTTGCAAATTACTGGCACATATGTTCCTATGTTTGAAAAGTCTAATTCTCAACCTACAGATCTGAGGGCACATGGGGCAAAATGTCCCAAGGGGTAGCGGGAGTCCAAGTATAGGATTTAATTTCTTTTCTTCTCTACTCCAACATCCTGCTAATTAGCCCCAAAATGCACGATGCAGCTTGATAGAGTACTTGTCACCATTCTGAACAATCCCAGTTACTGACATCAATGCTGCCATGCTTCAAGGAGAGGGTCAAACTTTTTCTTTACCATCCCTTAAGGATTGCCGTTTGAAAATTCCTAAAAGAGGACCTGTGAGGAAGACAGTTTTCTTGCCCTCCAGACACAGTATCTGTCCACAGAGGGTCTCCTACAACGTGTTCCAGCAACGGGAATTGGCTACAATGCAATTGACAAATAGGGTACACTATTTCTAAAACATGAACTTGTGTTGGCTACAATGCAATGCCATTAAGTAGGCCTCTTGCTGTCAGGAGCCCTTTGCTAACTTGTACAATGCTATGATCCTGACAGTCCCAGAGAAATTCTCCCCGTCAGCCTTCTTTAAAACTGAAAAGGAAGTAGCCAGCAGATCTGTTATCAGGAAAAGTAGGGTGTAGGGGAGAGTGAAAAACGGTACATCTAACTTACCTTGAAAGGAAACACAGGACCTGGGTACAACAGGAGGCTCCAGCAGCCTATTTAAGAAATTAGTCTGATCACGGATGACTTATGTTTCAACTTGATTTTCCTATCTTTGCTCCATATCCTTTGACACCCTTGTGGTGTGGTGATATGATCGCTAAAGGAGTCTGAGTTGCTATGGCAACATATACATATATATCGCAGTCTGGAACTATGGATAGTGATGGTAGAGACTCCAACGTTCTTTTAGTCACATGGATGATCAGGAAGCGCTCTCAATCTTACAGTCTGCTATTGGTAGTGTTGGAAGAATTTGCCAATTGATACTCAATCCTTTTTGTCACATCGTGAACATACCTTCCCTGGCCATTGACTTCTGAGGCAGGACTTGAACCTAGATCTTCTTGCTTACAAAGGCTTACAGCTTTCACAACCCCAGGATGTTACAAAGAGCTTGACAGTCACTGAAATATTTTTGAAGTGCAGTCATTGTAGAAAATTCAGCAGCTAATTTTCACTCAATACTCTGCCATAAGCAACAATATGATAATGACCAGATAGTCTGTCATTGTGTTGCTAACTAATGTCTAAGTATTGACCAGGACACCTGGGTAACTGTCCTGCGCATTTTGGAAACTGTGAGGACAGTTGTGTCAATGTGAGAAGGAGCTGTGAAGCCACTCGCACAGTTTGACCAACCTGTCTGAACAGTTACTGACAGTTGCAAATGAACAGTTGCTGACAGTAGTGCCATCCTTTGTGTTATGCTTTTTTGGTGATCTGCCCGTTACCCCACTTTTCCCATAGACCCAGTTGTTTATATAGTGTGACTTTCTATAACGTGATGTTGTGCTGGAATGCAACTATCATGTTATAGCAGAACCCTCTGTACATGATGTACAGTTTGCTGATGACTACAGAGTTGTTGCGCACACTGCGCCAAATCTGAAGCCAATGAACAGCATTCAATAAACCCAGCCTGTCCTTGTTGACAAAACAACATGCAAATTAACCGATATCTGGTCAGCCAAATATCCCATCTCCCGTAAACGTTGGGAATATGTCAAACATTCCTGTATATTGGCAGTTACCTTTCTCAAAAGGATACATTGATGAGGAGATCCGATATCAGATCAGCTATACCACTTCAGTCTTCTTTAAGCTACAGCATCAAGTGTTTGACAAAACAAAAAAGACCTTCACAAATAAATAAAAATTCTTGTTGTTATCACCACACTACAGTGAGACTAGACTTTCCATCAGCAACACAAAAGACCACCAGTGAAATTCCATCAGCATGCCTCTGCTGCACCATCTGGATTCTGCAGGAGAACTGGACAAACTTTAAACTACAGCTAAAAGTGAAAAGTGAAGCATTTTCCAAAATCTGCTTAAAACATGCCGCCTTTCGTATTCTTTAAGAGCAGCATTTGAATCGTGATCAATTTCATGCAATTTAAGACTAAACATTGGTTGCTTAAAATAGAACAAAGCAACTTTGTAGCTTTATCCTGTTCTGATCAATCACCTCTTCTAGCCTTGGTAATTTTGCATGTTGGACCTTGCAAAATATTTTTAATATTTCATGTTCCAAATACACCGAGGTATTTTGACTCTGATTTGCAAAGTTTCCCTTTTACACTTAAATTTCATGTTGGGATTGGACAATCTACTTGGGTCAGGTCATCAACTTAAAACTATTTCTCCCTATAGTTCTACCTGTGAAGTAGCCTTCATTTTTCCCTGAGTTATCACAATGAACACATCAAGGGAGTATGGAGAGGAGTACTAGATCATGTCCCTTAAGTTTTATTTCAACCACACTGCAACAAACTGGTGAGGAGACTATGAACTGTTGGCAAACTTGTTTAAGTTACCATCATTGATTCACTGTAATGAAGAGAGTATAATTGCATTTCCAAACTTCAAAACAAAAAAGGCAATTACTGAACTTCACCACAGGTTTGGAAAATGGAACTTCTCCCTTTATCTTTTTAACTATTTGCAAAAACTTGTCAGCGCGATTAAAAAGAAAATTATGCAAGTCCAAATTAGTCTTCGCTCTTAACTGGAATTACCCTGGAGGGGATCAAGGCCTAGTTATTAGACTCCATAATAGTATTGAGAAAGATAAACGAGACCTTATATATTTATTTATAAACTGTGAACCATAATTTAGAAAGAAACAAATTAAAACAAAGCTATAGTTAATGTCAAGGTGTGGAGGGGGGCGGGGGCATCAAAAGCTCAACTTACCGCGACATCGCTCCCACAGGTAAACTCTCCAGTTCATAAATGGATACTTAGTACTTTTTTTTCGAAAGAACAGAAAACGTTTTCCCAGTCCTGGAAACTCGAGTAAGGAGAAAACTGTAATCTGTGCTCTAAACTGAGGGAGAAGACAAATTCGCCAACATTCTTTAATATACGTATTTGAGTTAAAGCGGCATCGAGGAAGGCGAAGAAAAGGATTTGCTGTTTCAGACAGCGAACGTTAAAGCAGCAACAACAACAACATTAACTAAAGTGATAAGTGTGAAGGCACCGCCGACAGACGCCCAACTGCAGCTGAACGGCTCCCGCCGGGCGTGATTGACAACCCCGCAGACCAGACCAACTCTCAGGTCTACGGCAAGGGGTATCCAAACACCTTCTTAGAGACAGAGAATAGGATGTGACTCAAATCCGCTCCCAGATTCTCACATTTCAACTAATATAAAATATTAATATGCATTTGATGCTTACTACCTGCTTCGGTTTGACATTAGTCCCTTTACTTTGAACGCTAATGTATATTGTTTCCCCACCTCTGTGTCAGGGTGGATTTGATATGCCCCAAAGGCCGAATGGGAAAAGGGAGGGGCTTCTACTGAGCTGTCACCATGGTAACGAGGCCTAGGCGATGGTGCAATCTTAACCAAAGCCTGTAAGTTACCATTTCTTACTCAAATTATAATAAAAATGGGTTTTGTTTCTTGACCAGCAGGTGAAAATTGTTCATTTTGTACTTGTACACTGTAAATCTGCAATTTCTCGTGGAAAGTTACTCTTTTTAGGTCACCCGCCCTTGAAATGTTCCTTCCTTCCTTCGTTAGTTTTAATCAATTTTTTGATTGCTGGAAAAGAAGTTGTATAAATAAGTAAATGTAGTTCGAATAGACGTTCATCAATTCTGATAAAAAAAATTACAGACTTGAATTGTTGATTCTGTTTCTTTCTCGATTCACGGAAGCAGTGTGGCCTGCTTAGTATTTCCAATCATCTCAATTTTTTTTATATTTTAAGAATTCCAGCATTTGCAGTATTTTTGCTTTCAGACTTTTCGACGGTTCTCTCTCGTTATTCTTTTGCTGCAAATAATTAAATGTCTCGGATTGGGACCGCAGTTGCATTCTTACTTTGCTGCTCCTAAAATTACACCCAATTATAAGATTGGAGTTGCCTCCACTGGTAAAATTTTAGTTTTAGGAAAACAAAAGTTTCAGCAGGATGACAGTTTCCTGGGGAGGGGAATAAAAAAAATCAAATGATAGAAATCCACCGATTCTTCCATTTTTAATATGCATCAGCAACTTTTAAAATTGAAAATATTTCAATTGGGGTCTAAACCCATGATAAAATCTCCAGTGAGGATGAATCCTTACAGTGTGGAAGCAGGCCTTTCAATACATTGAGTCCGCACCAACCATCTGAAGAGTATCCCACCCTAACCCACCTGTTACCCCCATCCCTGCATTTCCCACCCTAGCCGCAATGGTCAATTTAGCATAGCCAATCCACCTAACCTGCACATTTTTGGACGTTATTTTCTGCAGATAGCACGTTTTTCCTACAGAAATACATCTTTTAAAATTTCATTAATGACTCAGTTTCTAAAACATTTAATAACTAGATTTGACTAAGAAATTTCTTACTTATCTGACATCAGTGTTTGGCCAGTGTTTAATTATATTTTTGCCAAAAATGCTAATGTATAGCTTTAAATAGTTAATATAATGCCAACATAATTTAGATGACAAAAATCTCACAAGTTTGAAAATTCTTTAGGAAACAAAAATGAAAATGTGAATCTTTCTCGTCACTGCTATTCTGGAATTATATTTTGTAATCTGTCAATGTAAACTAACTATAATTGACTAGTTTCAGAGATAGTAAGAACTGCAGATGCTGGAGAATCTGAGATAACAAGGTGTAGAGCTGGATGAACACAGCAGGCCAAGCAGCATCAGAGGAGCAGGAAGGCTGACGTTTCGGGCCTAGACCCTTCTTCAGAAATGGGGGAGGGGAAGTAGATCCTGAAATAAATAGAGAGAGAGGGGGAGGTGGATGTAATTAGACTCCTTTAGACTCTTAATTCCCGATATTTATTGAATTCAAATTCCACTATCTGCCATGGCAGGATTCAAACCCAAGCCCCCAGAATGTTAGCTGGATCTCTGGGTTAATAGTCTAGGGATAATACCACTAGACCATCACCTCTCCGTGAGGTAGTGTACGACTGGAGCTTTCTGCAGTCTTTCTCCATTTAAATAATAGTTTCTGTATCCTTCCTGCCAAAGTGCATAACCTCACACTTTCCCACATTATAATTCATCTGCTAATATTTTGCCCACTCATGTAACTGGTCTATATCCTACTGTAGACTCTTTGAGTCATTCTCATCACTTGCTTTCCTACCTGTGTTTGTGTCACGCGCAGATTTAGCTATAGTACAATCATTTTCCTTACCCAAGTCATGAATGTATATTGTAAATAATTGTGGCCCCAGCACTAATACCTGTGACACTCCGCTAGTTACAGGTTGCCATCCTGAAAATGCTCCCATTATCCCAACTATTTGTCTTCTATTAGTTAGCCAGTCCTCTGTCCATGCCAATAAATTACATCCAACATCGTAGGCTCTTTTCTTATTAAGTAGCCTAACAAAAGAGACGATAGCTAGCTGGAAGTCCAGAGGAAAATTAATGGTGAATCAGGAACAGAGACTGAATAAAATTAGTCTAAGTAAAATATCGGTAATAAGGAAATTAATGGAATTAAAGCGTAACAAACCCCCAGGAACTGACAATTTCCATCCTAGAGTGTTAAAGGAAGTAAGGGAGCACATTGTGAATGCCCTAACTATAATCTTGTAGATTTCTCTGGATACAGGAGCTGTCTCTCTGGACTGGAAAATTGCACGTCACTCCACTTTGTAAGAGAGACAAAAGAGGAAAACCAGGGAATTACAGATCAGTTAGCCTAACATCTGTGGTGGGACAGTAGTTGGAGTCTCTAATCCAGTTGATGATGCTGGAGTAACTGAATTTCTTGAAAATTTTCGGTTAACTAGGGAGAGCCAGCATGGATTCATGAAAGGTAGGTCACACCTGACAAACCTCATTGATTTTTTTGAAGAAGTGACTAAGGTGAAAGGGGAATGCCTATAGATGTTGTTTATCTCGACTTCCAGAAGGCATTTAATAAAGTTCCACATAAAGTAGAAGCTCATGGAATTGAGGGCAAATTACTGTCATGGCTGGAAAATTGGTTGAATGATAGGTTACAGAAAATAGGGATAATGGCTTGGTACTCAAATTGGCAGGATGTGCCCAGTGATGTCCCACAACGATCTGTGTTGGGGCCTCAATTATTCACACTATTATTAATGACTTGGATAATGGCATAGGAAGTCATGTATTCAGATTTGCTGATGACACAAAATTAGGTGATGTTGCAGACAGTGTAAATGACAGCATAAAATTACAAAGGGGTAATATTAGACTAAGTGAATAGGCAAACCTGTGGCAGATAGAGCACAATGTAAGCAAGTGTGAAATTATCCATTTTGGCACAAAAAAGAATAGATCAGGATGGAATGAAGTTAAATATGGTGGATGTCCAATGAAGCTTGGGTTAAAGATGTGTAGATCTTTAAAACGTAATGAACAGGTGCAGAACATAATCGTAAAAGCTAACAGAATGCTGGTCTTTTTATTTAGAGGTCTGGAGTACAAGGATGCAGAAGCACAGAGAACAGGGTGGAAGATTAGGGCCAGACTGTTCGGGAGATATGTTAAGAAGCTGTTTTACACATGTTAGGATGACATGGTAAAATGTTAGGAACACTCTTCCACAAATGGCAGTGGATCAGGACCAGTTGTTAATTTTAATTCTGAGATAGATAATTTTTTGTTAAACAAAGATATTAAGGGATATGAGTCCAAAGACAGGTATATGGAGTCGGCCACAGGTCAACCATGATTTTATTGAATGATGGAACAAGCTTGAGGGGCTGGGTGGCCCACTCCTCTTTCTATGTTCTTATACGTAGTATCATATCAAATGCCTTCTGAAAATCCAAATACATTACATCCACAGTGTCCCCGTTATGTCTTCTACTTGTTACTTCTTGAAAGATTTCTAATAAATTTATCAGGTAGGATTTCCTTTTCATCAAGCCATGCTGACCCTTTGATAATACTGTATATTTCTAAGTGATTTGATTGGATTTATTGTTGTCACATTTACTTGGGTACAGTGAAAAGGTTTGTTTTTGTGCAGTGCAAGCATATCATAACATACAAATATCATAGGGTGATTGAACGGAGCAAGGAATACAAAGTTACGGCTGCAAAGAAGGTATACAAAAAGCAAAATCAACATTAGATTTGAAATTTGAGAGGTCCATTCAGAAGTCTAATAACAGCATAGAAGAAGATGTTCTTGAACCTGTTGGTACGTGTGTTTAAGCTTTTGTATCTTGTGTCAGAAGGAAGAAGCTGGAAGAAATTATAACTGGGGTGGAAGGGGTCTTTGATGACATTGGCTGCCTTTCTGCGGCAACGTGAAGTGTAGATGGAGTCAATGGATGGAAGGTTGGCTTATGTGATGGTTTGGGCTGTGTTCGCAACCTTCTGTAGTTTCTTATGGTCCTGGGCAGAGCAAAGAAATGCTTTGCTATTATAACCTTTATACTAGACCCTAACATTTTCCCAATAACAGAAGTTGGTTAATTTGTTTTGCCTCTTTACCTTTATAGATAAAAATATTAGATTGGCGATTTTGTTATCCTCTGGAACTTTTCCAGAAACTAAGGATTCTTTGAAGATTTTTACCAGTGCATTCACTATCTCTGTAGCTACTTCTTTTAATATCCTAGGATGCGTCCCATCAGATCGAGGTGACTTATTGGTTTTTAGCTCCGTTCATTTCCCTGGCACTTTTGCTGTGGTGATATTTATTGTATATATTTCTATTCCACCTATTTTGCCTTGAATATTTAGTAATTTTGAAATGAAATTTGTGTCTTCTTTTGTGAAGACTGTTGCAAACTATTTATTCATTTCCTGATTCCTCGTCATAGTCACCCTGAGAAAATCCAGACCTGTAGTGTTTGTATTGCAACTTATCATTTAAAATTTACTATTCCTGAAACTAAAAAGAGAGTTTCTGAGGCTATGAACTAGTTTTACTACAAATGATGGCTTAGCTGCTATTTGCAGGTATACAACAATGACAAGGAAACTCCAGGAGTTATTGGAGCATAAGGATAGACAAATTACAAATGGGGGCCAAGCCGAGCATTTGATGCACTATAGCAGGTACCCAAATATGGTGTAGGATTGCCAACTGTAGTTGAATGACTTCCTGAGGTTTAATTGCATGACCTCCAACTGTTGTACCTGTTTGCTATTATTTTTCCTAAGTTTCCTTTTTAATACAACTGCTTAGTCCTGGATAATGCCAAGCTTCTTGTGTGTTTTTGGAACTGCATTCATCCAGGCAAGTGACAGTATTACATCACAATCCTGACCTATGACTTATATATGGCAGACAGGCACTTCGGAGGAAAGATCTACTCACTGCAGAATTTCTGGCCTCTGACCTTCTCTTGCAGCTTCGGTATGTACATGGCTGGCTCACTGTGTGGTGTTCCATCTATAGCTCCTGTCCCAGCCAGAATAATCAGAGTGAATAACACAGATACAATTAAGTACAAGCTAAATTAACATACAAGAAAGAAATAGATAAAAAATTATGGTGTGAGGTGAGATGATGGGTTGGGGACAACACCTGTGTGGACCATAAACACTGGCATAGGTCAGATGGGCCAAATGGCCTGTTTCTTTGCTGTAATCACACAATAATAGTACAGCTATCCTTCATGCTCCTTGTCCCGAGATTAATTACTTTGTGTGTGAGAAACTCTATTGGATCTTGGATATAACGTTGCAGATTCTAAAGTTAGTTTTCTCTGATTTTTGGAACATATAAACCAAATACCTTTAATGTGTAGTTCTGCATCATGCTGGTTTTGCTCCTGTACTTTTTTCCAGAGAAATGCTCATTGCCAACTTGTCTGCTGTATTGCATGTGAACAGATCCTGGAACAGAACCATCTGATGTACAGGCTGAGCCATTATTTCTGTCCTACTCCGGCCCCCACCCACAACTCTTTCTCTGATACATTGATGATATCATCGGTGCTGCTTCCCTCTCTTGTCTGGAATTGGAAAACTTCATCAATTTTGCCTCTAATTTCCACCCTGCCCTCACTTTCACCTGGTCTATCTCTGACTTCTCCCTTCCCTTCCTCGACATTTCTGTTTCCATTTCTGGGGATAGACTGACCACTAATATCCACTACAAACCCACTGACTCCCACAGCTACCTGGACTACACATCTTCACACCCCACTTCCTGTAAAGACTCCATCCCATTCTCTCAGTTCCTCTGTCTCTGTCGCATTTGTTCAGATGAGGCCAACTTCGACAAGGGAGCCTCCGAAATGTCCACCTTCTTCCTCAACCGAGGATTCCCCAGCTCCGTTGTCGACAGGGCCCTCAACCAGGTGCGACCCATCTCCTGCACTTCCGCCCTGACCCCTTCTCTTCCCTCCTGCAACAGCGATAGGGTTCCCCTTATCCTCACCTACCATCCCACCAGCATCCACTTCCAGAAGATTATCAGACGCCATTTCCGCCATCTCCAGCGAGATGCCACCACCAGACACATATTCCCCTCCCCTCCCTTCTCCACCTTCCGCAGGGACCATTGCCTCCGGGACATCCTGGTCCACACTTCCTTCACCCCCAATACCTCCCCACAGCCCTACGGCACCTTCCCCTTTAACCAGCGAAGGTGCAACACCTGCGCATTTACCTCCTCTCACCCGAAGTATCCAAGGGCCCAAACATACCTTCCAGGTGAAGCAACACTTCACCTGCACTTCCCAGAATCTAGTCTACTGCATTCGCTGCTCACAATGGGGAAATGAAGCGTAGACTTGGTGACCGCTTTGCAGAACATCTACATTCTGCTCGCAAAAAAGACCCTGAACTGCCTGCCAGCCACTTCAACGCACCATCCTGCTCCCTGCCCAACATCTCTGTCTCTGGCTTGCTGCAGTGTTCCAGCGAAGCCCAACGCAAGCTGGAGGAACAACACCTCATTTTCCACTTGGGGACCCTACAGCCCTCCGGACTCAATATTGAGTTCAATAATTTTAGGGCCTAATCTCTCCCATGTCCCAGCCCCCTACCCCACACACCAGGCCTTGTTACCACGTAGCCTGCCATTACACACCCCCTGTTGTTAGTCCCTAACCGTCCCCATTAACAACTATTCACCCTCCCAGCCTGATCGTTAGCAACTCCTTTGTCTGTCCAACTGTCTTTCTCTCTCTTTGGGCTCTATCCTATCGTTTACTCCCTACCCCACCAACCTCCCTATTTTCTGCATATAAACTGATGTTTTCCCAGCCACCATCAGTTTTGAGGAAGGGTCACCAGACGAGAAACGTTAACTCTGTTTTCTCTTTCACAGATGCTGCTAGAGCTGATGTGCTTTTCCAGCAATTTTGTTTTTGTTCCATTATTTCTCCCTCTGTATCTGGCTGTGTGACATTAGCCATTATAGACCTAGAAGTAGTGAGTTAATTACCAAACAGAAATGTTATAAATGAAATGCTCACATTCATAATATCAACTAAACATTTCTCCTTTGCACTGATTTTATCTTTGAGGGTAGCTATTAACAATTCTTATTTACTGTGTGTTAAAAATCTTTATTTTTGACCCAAAAGGCTTTCAAAAGTATTTCAGTCCTAAAACAAAAATCTGACAAGTTGTTTATTGTTTGATTCCAGAATCAATCAGCACTCCACTCATCCATACAAGTGGGATGCATCATGACTAGGTAGAGATGAAAATGTTTGATTTGTACTTAATGATTATTTTATTTGACATGCATTGTGCGATTTGACAGGAATTTTGCTATCTATTGTAAAAACAAGTGCAGATTCTACATTGAATGGTTCTTGCATGTGCTCCTGTAAGATCCCAGTGTGCTAAAATACAATGGTTATACTATAAATGTCTTTAAAGTATGGTGTCAGAGGAAAGAAAAGAGAGCCCAAATGCTGTGATCACTTTTTAAGTCATGGTTATTGGAATTGAAAATAACTTATGTTTAGTGGAGTGGATATTTATTTAAATAGGACATAACTTAAACTTAAAGATATTTTTCAGAAGCTTATAGGCACCATGTTAGAAAGTATTACGGATCACTACAGTCTTTCTCAAAACAGATGAAATATTCAATCAGTGTAAGTATTCAGTTCAGTCACTTACATTAAATTGGTTTGAAGGAAGGTTAATGACATGTTTGTCCACTGGATCAATAATATGTGAAAAGAGACCTATGCAAGCTTCTTATCTACAAGTCATGTTGACGTAGAGAAAAGGCTTTCTGTCCTTATACACCAAGAGATTTATTTGCTGATGACCACTATTAGCACCATTCTACACTGAACAGCCATCTGAAAACCCATCATTCAGATTACCAAGGGTTGAATTTAGCACATGTCTCTTAATTGAATCTGCTGCTCCAGATCTGAGACATGTTAAATAGACAACCACATATCTCCCATTTTATCATTCAGACACATCAATTGAATAGTTATCGGTACTTGGTAGAACAGAACAGAATCATAAAACTTGCAACACCTCTACCAATCAGAGTCCACTTGACAACTGCTAAGGTTTGGTATTCTAGCGATATTATCTTGATGTGTTCTTTGACAATGTGACCATTCTCTCCCTTTGACTTCTCAATTTATACCCATTTTACATCTTTTTCACTTTCACCACCATTACCATCCTGTTTGTCTTTTGCAGTAAGTCTTTGCCTCTATTTAAAAGTAAATGAATGAAACATTTTTCAAAACCTCTCAGTTCTGAAGAAGAGGCATGGTGGACTTGAAACATTTATCCTGTTTCTCTCTTCACAGATGCTGCCACACGAACGGAGTGTCTCCAGCATTCTCCTTGTTTGATTCAGATTTCCAGCATGTGCAATATTTTGCCTTTACTCCTCTACTGGAGAGTAAACTTACTTTATTGGGATATTAAACCCACACCTTCTGTCTTGGCTGAGATTTCTACTAACAAAGCAAGGCTGACATTTATTATTAAGGAAAGAAAAATAGAACTTTCATCTGTACAGGACTTTTTACACCTTAGGACATTCTGAACTGCATTATATCCTATGTAGCATTTTTAAAGCGCAATCACTGTTGTAATATAGGAAACATGACAGCAAGATCCTACAAGTAGTGTTTTTAAAAATGATAAGTAAAAACCGAAAGACTGCGGATGCTGTATATCAGGAACAAAAACAAAGTTGCTGGAAAAGCTCAGCAGGTCTGGCAGCATCTGTGAAGGAGAAAACAGAGTTAACGTTTCGGGTCCAGTGACCCTTCCTCAGAACTGATGATGGGTCTAGTTCTGAGTTCTGAG